AGCCGCTGCTGCTTTTCGCTTGTGCCCGGCCTCCCTGCCCGCTGGCACTGTGCCCTTGGACCCATCCGGGGCCCCGAGCAGGTTCGGGGTCTGGGGGAGTCGCGGGTGGAACCCCGGCCCGAGAGCCGCCCAGACGCCCGCCGGCTCGCCGCCTGCGAGGCCGGGGAGGGGGCGTTTCCAGCTGTGGCGCGCGGAGCTCCCGATGTGGGTCCCCGCATCGGGAGGCTGGGGGCTGCGGGCTCGGGGCTCACCCTGTCCAAAGCAGGCCTTCCTCATTCTGTGGGCTCCCCGAATGCCTCCTTTTTGTCGTTTCCAGGGCTGGCTTTCCGGGCTCTCCTGCCCCGGGATCTGGTGAGCAGGACCTTGCCCCGTCGACCTAGGTTCTTAGTCTTCTCACCTGTCACGTGTCCACGCGAGTTTTTTGGCTTTTTCTACGGAAACTGTATGTTCCCAGTATTTTAATGATCTTGGAGGTAGGGTCACAGAGTCGTAAGGTCTCGACGTGTTCTCCTCCCTTGAGGCTTGTCCTTTTTCAGCCTGGTGACTAAACGCACTCGTTTTTGACTTGGCCGTTCCCCTACTGAGAGCCATTGGAGCCTTTTAAGCAGATGTTTCTCAGAAGGCTAAAGGCCAAGGAGAATCCTTTGAACTGAGAGCAGGAGACTCAGAGGTATATGTGGTGGGGTGCGCTTAGGAAACGGAGTGCAGCGCTGGCTGTTTACCTGATCCTTCCGCCTCTTGAGTTGCGGTGGGTGTTTGAAGTAGCAGTGGTTCGTTATGTGTACCTCACGTCGGTGAGGCTTGAGTAAGTTGGTCGCATGAGAAAGAGTGACTGTGTATTGCAGCGTTTGAGACTTGGAAAGAGAATTTGTCTCTTGATAATCATGTCGCATTGAAACATCTCTTTGCAGGGGAGGAGCTTTACTAACTAGCCCCAGTGGACCGGGCTATCATATCATGTTGCCTTTCATTACTACGTTCAGATCTGTGCAGGTGAGTGATTCCTAGGGAAGCCCAGCACCAGATAGACAGGTGTGACAGGACGAGTCACCACACACGTGGGTGGAGATGCGTTTCCTTGTTGCTGAAGCAGATGGTGTTTACTTAAGTGCAGGAGTTAAAGTTCAGAGTACAGTTGTCACAGCACACGTTATAATTTTGAACCTCACTTGCTTGAGGGGAATCAAAGGTACGAGCCAGGCAGCTTGGAAGGACTGACTTCTGCCATCTGTGTGGTGGTATGTCACAGGTTTTCATAAAGGCAGGAAAGAACACAACTGGAAATACAGGCCAGTGACTGCGTGGCGTAGAGCCGTGCTTGGTTTTCATTGAGGCCGGTGCCTGCGCCACTGTGAATGTGGACTACGTGAATTTTTTTGTTTGTTTTTTGTTTTTTTGAGTTGAGTCTCACTCTGTCACCCAGGCTGGAGTGTAGTGGCACGCTCCCAGCCACCGCAGCCTTGACCTGCTGGGCTCCGGCAGTCCTTCTGCCTTAGCCTTTCAAGTAGCTGGAACTACAGTTGCGCACTACCACGCCTGCCTAGAATATGTGTATTTTTATACATAGCTTTTTGGCCTCGGCTTTTTTGCCTGCTTTTTTTTACATTGAGCACAATTTTATGTGAAACCTTAGTAAATGTTACATTTTGACAGTATCTCAGAATATTTGAAATATATATCTGATCATTGAAAAGAGTGTCTTGGCCATGAATGATAATAAATATCTCTTGAAATAACAAGATGACAAAACAGAATGTAAGCTCATTGTGATCGTAAATCTTCGAATTCAGAAGTTTGTCTACCTTATCTGCTGCTAATTTTTCAGGGCTCAGGGAAGTCTAATGTTATTTTCTCTTGTAATTTTAAGTCTAGGTTTCCTACTAAGTGAAAGTTTAATTAGGAATACTTAAATTCCCCCGTTTCCTTTCGTTCCCTTTTCAGTGGCTTAGGGGGACTCTTCTCCTAGCTGGACTTGTTTTTCTGTTGCTTTCCATGTTCGCTTGAGCCATTCTTGCCTTGGTGCACGTGGTCACGTCTGTGTTCGCCGGCTTTTGCTCTCCGTTCCCTTTCTCCTGCCTAATGCCTCCAGCCGGTTACAGGCTCGTCCTGACCTCTTCCTTGTACACGGCTCCTAAAGTCTGTGTGGTAGAGTTTGGCTTTTGTCTTACTTTCTTGAATAATGTTCTGTCTTACTGGTGTCTACGCTTTTGTGTGTGTTCTCTTCCCAGAAAGTCTGCACGCTTTTGGAAAGCAGGAGTTGTGACCCACTCATACGTCTGACTTTCTGCTTCTGGTGGAAGTTGTTAAATTGAACTGATTTTTCAGGAAGCAATGTGACGTAGGGATCGCGGGGACTTGCCTCTGCCACCCTTTGTTGCATGGCTTTGGAAAAACTACTTCACTGTTGTAGACTTCAGTTATTCTTCTGTGAAGGACGGAATTTTAGCTGCACGACCTCACCAACAGCCTAAACAGTCTCTGGCGATGTTAGCAGTGGTACCATCAGACCCTTAGAAACCTTTTAGACCTTGTTCAAAGCCAGGAAATGTCTCTGTCTTCTTGAAGCTTAGTATGTTAATCTATACTGATATATAAGAGAGATATAGACGATTACATTAAACAGGTTTTGGAGTTTAACTGTATATGTAGTAAGTATGCAGTGTGTTTTTATATATAAATGTATATATTTAGTACTAAACTTATAAGAGGTACGAATGAAATTAATAAAAATATTTCAGTGTAAACCAAGAGACTTTGCATCTACAAAAAAATCAAGTGCTGGAGCCAGTGTGACTAAGTAGGAATGGGTGGTGGTGGTGGTTGTTGTTTTGGAGCGTAGTTTCCCTCCGCTGCCCAGGCTGGAGTGCAGTGGGGCATGCTCATGGCCGCCGCAGCCTTGACTCCGTGGGCTCAGGTGATCCTTCCTCCTCAGCCTTACAAGTAGGTAGAACAACAGGTGTGTGCCACGATGCCCAGCTAATTTATTGATTTGTTGTAGAGAGGTCTCGCCAGGTTGCCAGGCTATTCTTGAATCCTTCGGCTCAGGCTTCCTCTTGTCTCTGCCTCCCAAAGTGCTGGGTTTACAGCCATGAGCCACTGCATCCGACCTCAGAATGTTCTTTATATGTGAAACAATATCATTCTAGGGAAGAACTATATTAGTGAAACCCTTATAAGAAAGTGTTCTTTTGAGAGTAAGACGTAAATTTATTTTTAGGAATTTTTGAAATATATTAGAACATGTAGCCCTATATAAACAAATGGTTTAGCGAACTTGGCAATTGAAAGGAATATATATATATAAATGTGAAACCCCGTATACGATGTAAGAAGAGAAAACAATGTTTAGAGTAATTATATGAAAATCTTTAACCTTTAAAGTATGCATCAAGTAACCATAGACTGTCTTTCTTTTTTTTTTTTTTCATTTTTTTTTTGAGTTGGAGTCTCACTCTGTCGCCCAGACTGGAGTGCAGTGGCTGCTCCCGGCCACCGCAGCCTCGACCTGCTGGGCTCCAGCGATCCTTCCGCCTCAGCCTTCCAAGTAGCTGGAATTACAGGCATGCGCTTACCATGCCCAGCTGATTTTTTGATTTATTGTAGAGATGAGGTCTCGCTGTCCAGGCGGGTCTCGAACCCGCGGGCTCAGGCAATCCACTCACCTCAGCCTCCCAAAGGCGCGGGATTACAGGCTGAGCCACCGAGCCCGGCAACTGTCTTTCAAAATAAATTTTCTATCATGCTGGGAAAATACATAGGTACATTTTTTTTTGAGACAGGCTCTCAGTAGCCCATGCTGGAGTGCAGTGGTGTGATCAACCTGGACTCAGGTGATCCTCCCATCTCAGCCTCCTGAGTAGCTGGGACCACAGGCAGATGCCACCAAACCTGGCTAATGTTTAAAAATTTTCTGTAGAGACAAGTTCTCACTATGTTTTTCAGGCTGGTCTCGAACTCCTGGGCTAAAGCAATCCTCCCACCTTGGCCTCCTGAAGTGCTGGAATTACAGGTATGCACCGCTGCACCCAGCTGGGAAAATAATTTTTAAGAGAACTTAAGAAGTAGAAAAGTACATAAAGATAGGATGGGCCAGGCGTAGTGGCTCACGCCTATAATCCCAGCACTTTGAGAGGCTGAGGCAAGAGGATTGCCTGAGCCCACAGGTTCAAGACCAGCCTGGGCAACTTGGTAAGACCTCGTCTCTACAATAAATCAAAAAATTAGCCAGGTATGGTGGTGCATGCCTGTAGTTCCAGCTACTTGGAAGGCTGAGGCAGAAAGATCACCTGAACCCAGCAGGTTGAGGCTGCGGTGGCCATGAGCATGCCACCACACTCCAGCATGGGCAACAGAGCGAGAGTCCAACTCAAAAAAAAAAAAAAAGGGTAGGATGTTAAATTGAAGATTTAACATTTCAACTCTTTCCTTTCTAGTTCTTCTTGGTTTGAAAATTGGCTAAAGAATAGTCTTCAGGCTTAAATAAGAATGTATGTTTAAGATTGGTGTGGAGTATGGAAATTGAGTTAATGTTTTGAAGGGAATAAATTGAACTAGTCTCCTTATCAGTCCCCCTCACCTTACCTAAAACTATCACTAATGTTTACCATCACCCTAATTTTCCAACCTTAGAATTGTTCCCTATTCTTTTTCTCTTGGAATTTTATATTCAACCAAGTATCAAATTCTTCCTATTCTTCCTCTGTTATGTCTTCTGGATTGTCAGCTTCACTTTCATGGCTTTTACTGAATTAGGCTAAATAAATTAATTCTCTAGCCTCCCAGTTGGCTTTCTTGCTTCCACTTAAGATATATAATGAAGCCGGGCTCGGTGGCTCAGCCTGTAATCCCAGCACTTTGGGAGACTGAGGTGAGTGGACTGCTTGAGCCCGTGGGTTCGAGACCCGCCTGGGCAACTTGGCAAGACCTCATCTCTACAATAAATCAAAAATTAGCTGGGCAGGGGAGCGTGTGCCTATAGTTCCAGCTACTCGGAAGGCTGAGGCTGAAGGATCGCCAGAGCCCAGCAGGTCGAGGCTGCGGTGGCCGGGAGCGGCCGCTGCACTCCAGTCTGGGCGACAGAGTGAGACTCCAACTCAAAAAAAAAAAAAAGATGTATAATGAGAGCCATGTCACATATGGATGAAAGCGTTAAGTAGACATAGCTTGGAAGGTTATTTTGTGATGGTGTGTAAGATGCACTAGCGCGAGCCCAGACTCCCCACCGACTCCCAGGGCTTTCTCCCCAATGTCATGTGTTCTCACACTGTCACCTCTCGTCCAGGCTGCCCCTCAGTCCAGACACTTCCGTCTTTTCCTGTCTCCTCTACACAGTTTGTCTTGAACTTCATATGTTTGAGTAGGATACTTGTTGAACATAAGCTGTTACCTGCTTGAAAAGCCACCTGCTTGAAAAGGCGGCTTTTCAAGCGATTATTTTCCTCCCTGGAATGTGCCGCTAACAGTTCAGTTGACACTCTGTGCTTGTGTGCCTGTCAGTGAGTTGCTTTGTAAGGGTTTTGTCTCATCTACTAGATTGTGAGCTCTTTGGAAGCAGAGACCCGGCTTCCTTTGTCTTTGTATTCCAAGACATGTATGCTGCTGTGTGTTGATAAGATACAGAGTGTCCAGGCATCCTGGATCCAGGCAGAGGTGTGGCATGGGCAAAGCAGTTAAGTACCACATTGATGGGTCACTAGGGGTAAGCAGGGCTGGCGGGAGCACTTCGATTCGGAAGGAAACCAAGTAGGATGTGTGCAAGATCACAGGGTCCTGAGCTAAGCTGTTGACTTAACTTCAGAGAAGAAACGTTGCTGTCACCTTCAAGGGCAGTTTGAGTTGGAGCGCACTTATGTGCGTTATGACAGTTATCTTTTATCTTAATGTAAATTGCAACGTTAGTGGTGGAGTCAGAGTTCGGAGCACAAGCCCCACTGTAGTGTCCGTGTGGCTGAGCCATGCGGTTTACAGTCCCGGGCCAGCCCCAGGCACACGGGGACTTGGGAAGAGTTTTCTGCTTGTTAGCGGGTTGACCATTGAACCCTTCCTGGAGCATCGTGACTCAGACTAGCTGCAAAATGTTTTCTGTGTGAAGCCTTCCGTTTCTACTAGGGCACAAAAAGAAAGACTGTGCCAGGCTAATCTTGGGGCCGACACTGAAGGGGCGCTCCCGTGCTGTCTCTGCAGCTCTCCAGAGGTCTGCCTCTGGGACCAGCAGTTCCTTGACGATGTGTGTCTCGAGTATTGATGAGATCTTTTTCTTCCCTAGACGACACTACAAACTGACGAAGTTAAAAACGTGCCTTGTGGAACAAGGTAAGCTTTCTCCTTGCCTCCCAGCTTCCCATTAGGAGTTTCTGGTCCTGAAGCGGTGACATCTTGTGTAGCCGTGGTGTCACCAGGAGCTTGTGTGTCTGAGCATTACTTGAGTGAAGGCTTATCTCCAAATAGGAGCCCTCCCTCGCAGGAGCCGTCGGGGCATTCTAGGAAAAGGGGAGTGCTGGAGCCAGGAGACCCTGCTCCTTCAGCACTGCTGTGTCTGCTTTGCCATCTCTTAAGCAGACTTCGTTTTTACAGCCGTTTCAGGCTCATAACAAAATTGGGCAGAAAGTGTGGTTTTCCCATATTCCTCTTGCCCCCTCCCCCCATTTCTTTATGGACATTTCCAAGCTTAATTTCCTCATTTGTCAAAATCGGGTACCAAAACCTACCTTGAGAGTTGCTGTAAGGGGGTTAGCACTAGTGTCTGGGACATGCCTAACCCAGCACTTGGCCCAGAACAGACGCTCGGAGAAACAGCTTGAAGTGAGTCATCCCACCTTCTGTGCGTCTGTGGGATGAAATGCCATCGAATTTAGGGTTTCCGGTTCTGTAGGTCTGGAGTGGGGCCCGAGCATTTACGTTTCTGACAAGCTCCTGGGTGATGCAGGTGCTGCTGGCCTGGCACCGTCCTTGGAGAATGGCTGCCCAAAGAGGCGTAGGGAAGGAAAGGCAGGTGAGGCCCAGTTACCTCTAGAGTGTCATCACCCGTTGAATTACATCAAAAGAAGAATGTGGCGGTCAAGCTATATTACTCTTAAAAGTGTGCAAGAGACTCTGGCTTCTGTTGAGGGACAGAGATGCCTTTTTTTGAGTCCAGCTGTCACTCTGCCACCCAGGCTGGAGTGTAGGAGCATGATCACAGCCACTACAGCCTCCTCTTCCTGTCTCAGCCTCTCAAGTAGCTGGACTGCAGGCGTGTGCCAACACACATCTGACTTTATTGTAGAGACAGGATCTCTACAAAAGGATTGCTCAGGCAGTCCTCCCGCCTTCACCTGATTACAGGCATCAACCCTGTGCCTGGCCCAGAAATACTTTTTAAAAAGAAGCAAGCTGGGCGCGGTGTTTCACGCCTGTAATCCCAGCGCTTTGGGAGGTGAAAGCAGGAGGATTGCTTGAGTTCAGGAGTTCAAGAGCAGCCTGGACAACATAGTGAGACCTTGTACACCTGTAGTCCCAACTACTTGGGAGGCTGAGACAGGAGGATCGCCTTAGCCCAGGAGGTAGAGGCTGCGGTGAGTCACGATCGTGCCACTGCACAAGCCTGGACAACAGTGAAAATCTCAACTAAAAAAAAGGAAATGTCTTCTGTATTTTAAGTTAATGTATTTGATTATCAAGTTCTCCCTAGGTCTGTCTGTGACTCTCTTTTTTGGATCCCTTTAGTAGTTCATATGCTTTATTTCTTTTTTAGCGGCGGGGTCATGATCTATATTGACCGAATAGAAGTGGTTAATATGCTGGCTCCTCATGCAGGTATGTTGTCCGTCCGTTCTGATGTTTTTTGTTTGTTTGTTTGTTTAGAAAGCAGGATTTACTGAGAGGACAAAAAAGCTCCCAAAGGGGTTGCCCTGTTGTTTTCATAGTGATAAGCAGAGTATTTGTAGCTGGGCAATTTTTTTGAGGAACAGGGAAGTGCCTTAAAAGCTTGACAGCTTCATTGCTGATTAATATAAAAGAAGAGTTGCTAGAAAAAAGAGTTGCTTTTTCCGGGAATGGAGGCAGAAATCGGCCAGACGTTCTGGGCAGAATTGACTTTCTGCAGCTGCATGAGTTACGTTTCTCCGAGCTCATTGTTTCTAAGAACAAGATGGCCACTGATTACTTCTAGGACAGGACAGTAGCATTGTACCCAATCGGGATAAGAGATTCCTTGTGTGCTGAAGACTGTCATTGACCAATTGCTTGAACCTTACTGATTGGCCACCATAAAGAAACCTTTGCTTGTTGAGATTTGCTATAACTTGCCAAGCAGTCTGGAACTCCTCAGCGTGGGGAAAACATCTTGATAAAAGATGAAAACCCACAGAAGCAAAGTGGGTACTGTTCTAAGAAAAAGTTTTAATTTGAAGCTCTGAAGAAAGATAAGCAGTTTTATCTTTATCCTTGCTAATTAAATTGGCTTGTCTAGTATGTCCAGAATGCTGTTTGGCTAGACCAGTTTTAAAAAATGATGTTACAGCCTTTGCCTTCAAGGGGTTTTATTTTACTTGAGAAGATATGGTGCAGACCTTTAAAAAGATACATTGGGAAGTAAGGTCATGGACTTTACATCACTAGGATAGTCACCAATAATGGAAAGATTTCAGAGCAGAGAGCAGGTCTGTTACTTTCCAGTGGGTTTGGAGCCTATTTTTCAGAGATTAAGTATTCTCCGTGTCTTTTCTCATCTCCTCTCCCTGGTCACAAATCACTGGAATGGATTGTGACTGAGAACAGGAAGGGCAGAGAGCAACGCCCCTCCAGCCAGAGAGGAACAGGGAACTGTTAGATCCCAGTTCGTTTGCGAGAGATCAAGCAGATGATTTAGTCAGCAGGTCTTCATCGGTGGCCTGCCCTTAATTGTGACCTGGAATCCAGCTGGAGCTGAGCCAGAAGCAGAAAGCAGCCTGTTTTCACAGTTAGAGCACAGGTTCTGACATGGACTAGTAGGTGCCTTGGGGCCGTTTCTAAAATTCTCTGGTGCTTAGTCTCTGAATATGCAGAGCCCTGATGCAAAACCCAGCCTCATCATGCCAACTTCTTTCCCTTCCAGCCTGCTGCCTGTCTTTGGGCCTTTAAAACTCCCTTTCCCAGCCGGGCTCGGTGGCTCAGCCTGTAATCCCGCGCCTTTGGGAGGCTGAGGTGAGTGGATTGCCTTGAGCCCGCGGGTTCGAGACCCACCTGGGCAGCGAGACCTCATCTCGACAATAAATCAAAAAATCAGCCGGGCGTGGTAGCGCGTGCCTGTGATTCCGGCTACTCGGAAGGCTGAGGCGGAAGGATTGCCGGAGCCCAGCAGGCCGAGGCTGCGGTGGCCAGGAGCGGCCACTGCACTCCAGTCTGGGCGACAGAGTGAGACTCCAACTCAAAAAAAAAAAAACCAAAAAAAACCTCCCTTTCCGGAAACGGCCTTCGGCACCTGCCCCCGTTTCTGATTTCTCCGCCCCCGTCCCTCTTTCTCACTTAGCTGAACTCTGGTGACTCTCTAGCTGCCTTTCACTTCCCTGCCTCTGGTGTCCACATTTCAGTTCATCCTCATGCTGCTGCCAAAGCGTACCTCTCTCTGACATAGCGCATGCTGTCCTTAGCACGGACTTGGACCTGTTAGCAAGCATAGGCGGGGGCGTCTGGGGGATGGAGCACAAGGAGCATGACCAGGTGTGTGACTCACGTCTCCTGGTTTCACTGCTGGGCGGCGCTTTTCCTCGTGTGCAATGCGGCACTCTGGCCTTGAGCCAGACCGCGTCTGAAGACGCCTGAGTCGTCGCGGGGTAAGAACATGGCTTGTACCTCTCCTTCAGTGTTTGATATCGTGAGGAACTACACTGCAGATTACGACAAGACTTTGATCTTCAACAAAATCCACCACGAGCTGAACCAGTTTTGCAGTGCACACACGCTTCAGGAAGTGTACATCGAATTGTTTGGTGAGCCTCTTACTTGTTCTCAATTTGTAAACAGCCAGTTGGAGACCTTGTTTAACTCGCTTAATGATGCTATATTGGTAAACTTTATGCTGTTGGAGCATTTCTTCTGAATTTATAAGAGAGAAAGTGTCTTTAAGATATTTTTTATCTTAGGTTTTTTTATGGAACTTGGTTGAGGCTCGAGAGGCTTTACTCACAGACTGTCTTTAATTTTTCCTGTGCTAACTTACAGAAACTAGCTTGGTTGCTATCTTAGGAGGTCATTTGAGGAAGTGTAGAAGTCTGCGTCTTGGGGCTCCCCAGGACTGCCTCCACGCTTGGTGGTTGGTTCGGAGACCGGCAGGATTCGGTGTCTAGTTGTGGTCACAGCCAAGCTCTGTTGCCACTGAAGGACACAAAGCAAAAACAGCCACAGGAAAAGGCAGCTCTGCAGGCCAGAGGAAGCCAGGGGCCCAGGCTTCCAAGCGTCCTCCCACAGTGGAGCCCCTTGCCGTATGCCTGACCCCCAGGAGCAGGCTGGGACGCACGTGTAATCGTCGTCCATAGGGAGGCTTCTTGGACACCAGGGCGTTCACTGTGGGCTGGTCACACAGGCACCCTCTGCCTCCCACACACCCAGTTCCAGACTCCTAGAGGGAGAGCACGTGTTCGGCATCAACCTCTTTGTTGGCATGACCGGCTCAGGCACAGTGAGCCACCGGACCAAGTCCAGGGTGGGGGACCCGCCACACGTCAGACAGCCTCTGCAAAGATCACAGTCTCAGGCGCTACTGCACATTTCTTTTTCTTTGGGAGAGTGAACGTCCTGACTGGGGAGTGGGTGGTCGCTGTTGGCTGTTCGCTTCTCCCACTTGGAATTTATGGTGAGTTTCTAAGAGGGAGGCATAGGGATGGTTAATCAACTTAACGTCAACTGGTTGATTCCTGTTTGATGGTTGGCAACCACTGCAGTGGCATATGAGGAAACTGATCAGTCCTGCTTTATCTTATTTCCAATCATTTAATGATGGTGAAAGTGCCATAGGTAGATAGAAAACTCATGAGTTGCAAGGCCAAGTGAAATGACAGCATCCAAACTGTGTGTGCCTCAAAGACTTTTCTTTGAGTTAGGGTCTCAACTGTCATGTCACCCAAGCTGGATACATGGTCATGGCTCACTGTAGCCTCGACCTGCATTCAGACAATCCTCCTGCCTCAGTCCCCTCGGGTGCTGGGATTATAGCCATGATCTACTGTGCCCAGCCTGCTGCAAAGACTTTTCTATGAGCTTCTCTTTCTCTCTTTCAGTCCAAAGTAATAATAAGGCTAAGGCCCGTGGAGATGCTTGAGAATCTGAGTAAGGGTTGACTGAAGATAGGAATTTGCATTGTTATTAGAATCAGGACACATTAAGAGCCATGAATTAAGATCTTAGAGACCTAGATTCTCCATTAGATAAACTTATTTTTTCTGATAATTAAGTCCATCCAATAAATGTGGTAAGTTATCCAAAGTTAAATTAAAGAATAAGTTTATCAGGTGGACTTCTTTTATTGGATGGACCTGGGCTGGCTGCTTGTTATACGCCTTTCCTTAATATGTCAGATAATTCCCCACACTTTTCTCCCACACAGAAGGGGGAAGAGGCAGCTTAAGCTCTTTTAAGCTCTGTAGAAGAGTGGTGCTGTAGGAACTTTAGGTCTAATAGCGACTGGGTTTGTTTCGTTATTAATATGATGTAAAAATAAATGGGGTCTCATAAGATCTGTTGTTCTTCGCTTTAAAAACAGATCAAATAGATGAAAACCTGAAGCAAGCCCTGCAGCAAGACTTAAACATCATGGCCCCAGGTCTCACTATCCAGGTAAGTCCTTTTCCTGGGAGGTTTTCTGGGAATTGTGAGAGCGGAGCCCTCAACCCTCCTTTCCTCAGAGTGTCTACTCGGCATTACTTAGTGGAGGTGCTGTGTGGATTTGTAGACATACCTCTCAGTTCAACTTTGGTCTCTGCCAAAAGAACAAGCATTGCAGCTTACAGTGGGTGACATTTTCTTGTGTACTTTCAGAGGGAACCGATACACTGAGGCTCTTACAAGGAAATAAAGTTCATGTTCATGGCAGAACATGTGAAGTGTTGAGATACAGTCAAGGTTCTAAGTCAGTGTAAGAGTAATCCCTGCCCTCTGTCAGACTGAAAAAGGAGCTCAAGTGCAAGATTTGAACAGTCATTCTAAACAAAGTAGAAGCCACAGAGTATGACTTGACAGGTGGATTCGTCAGATGGCTGTTGCTGAGAGTCAGAGAACATTTGAAGAGCATACCTGGGAGGACTGGAAAAAGTCATTGGATTCCTGTGGGGAGGAAATGAGACCAGTATTTCAGGTGGGTGGGGTGGCCGGAGTCAAGCAGTGACAGGTGCGGTTAGTGGAGGCATTGGGAGGTAGGACGATGAAAGGTTCTGCCTCTGCGTTCTGGGTCACATTTTCAGATTATGGGTTGTAAAGCCAACTTCAGTGGGTCATGACCAGCATTTTAAATAAAATGGAATCGAACACAAAGAGAAATGGCATGCAACAAGCTTAGGTATTCTGTGACGCTTTTGTCTGCCTTGCGTAAGTGTGAAGGTGTCGGCTGTCTGTGCAGAATGTGTTTCTTAGCTGGGTTCGGTGTCTCAGCCTGTAATCCCGCACCTTTGGGAGGCTGAGATGAGTGGATTGCCTGAGCCTGCGGGTTTGAGACCCGCCTGGGCAGCGAGACCTCATCTCTACAATAAATCAAAAAATCAGTCGGGCGTGGTAGCGCATGCCTGTAATTCCAGCTACTCGGAAGGCTGAGGCAGAAGGATCGCCGGAACCCAGCGGGTCGAGGCTGCAGTGACCGGGAGCAGCCGCTGCACTCCAGTCTGGGCGACCGAGTGAGACTCCAACTCAAAAAAAACAAAAAGAAAAGAATGTGTTTCTTACTGTGTTCGTGGTCAGTAGCATTCGAAAGCCACAGCTCTGGATCCAAATGGCTGAGGAAATGGTGATGTGGCTTCTCGAGCGTTCTTTCTCAGGGGTGCTAGGAGACTAGTTACTGCAGCCACAGGTAGAGATTTCCTGGTTGCCACGTGCCTCAGCTTTCTGCGCTCAGGGAGGCTGGGAGGGGGGCTGAGGTTTCCCCTGGCCTCATGTATACTGTGCCGTTGTCACAGGCAGGCACCTAAGGGTGAGCCACCGCCATTAAGGGGCTGTTTGAAATGTCCTGAAGTAACTTTGTTTTGTTGATGTTGTTGTTGATTTTTCTGAGTTAGAATCTCACTCTGTTGCCCAGGCTGGGCGGCATGCTCACCACAGCCTCAATCTGCTGGGCTCAAGCAGTCCTCCTGCCTCAGCCTCCCAAGTAGCTGGAACGACGGGCACACGCCCCCCACGCCTGGCTCAATTTTGATTCATTGTAGAGATAAGGTCCCGCCAAGTTGCCCAGGCGGGTCTGGAACCCGTCGGCTCAGGCACTGAGGTAACTTTGTAAAGTCCTCTTGGTTGTCCAGTCAGTTGTAGCTGGAGTCACTTTTTTATTATTTTTGTTTTAGATCCAGGAGGCCCATGTGCAGGTTTATTGCGTGGGTGAATTGTGGATGGTGAGGTTTGGGCTTCTATTGACGCCATCACCCATACAGCATGGAACTCAGTGGGTGGTCTGTCAACCCTTGTCCCGCTCCCTGCCCTTCCCCTTGAAGCATCTTCAGTGTCTTTTGTCTCCATCTTTATGTCTGTGTGTGTACCCAGTGTTTAGTGTCAGTGTAAAGTGAGAACATGGTATTTGGTTTTCTCTTTTTGCATTAATTTGCTTGGAATAATGGCCTACAGCTGCATCTGTGTTGCTGCAAAGGACTTGATTTCATTCTTTTTTATGACTGTGTGGTATTCCTTGGTGTATGTACACCATAATTTCTTCACTACACTGTTGATGGGCACCTAGGTTGGGTCCATGTTTCTGCTATTGTGAATAATGTTGCAGTAAACATACAAGTGCCAGTCTTTTTGGAAGAATGGCTTATGCTCCTTTGGGACTTCAAACTTTACTGCAAGGCTACAGTAGCCAAACAGCACAGAACTTGTATAAAAACAGACAGTGGACCAGAATAGAGGACCCAGAATAAAGCCGCTCACCTAGAGCCAGCTGATCTTTGGACACCCTTATTCAATAAATGGCACCGGGAAAACTGGCTAGCCATATGCGGAAGAGTGAAACTGTGCTCCTTCCTCTCATCATACACAAAAGTTATCTCAAAATGAATTGAAGACATCAATGTAAGACGTCAAACTATACAAATCCTAGAAGGAAACCTAGGAAACACTCTTCTGGGCATCGGCCCGGGCAACAGATTGGTGACCAGATCCTCAAGAGCAAATGCAGCAAAATCAAAAATTGACAAGTTGGATCTAAGTAACCCCTTTGTTCTCAGATGTCCCCTCTGAGGGGACATGGCAAATCTAGCAAACCACTCATCTCCCCCCTCGAAATATAAAGACATTGCTGGTGATTTTCTAGAGAAAACTTATTCCAGTGCAAGTTTTTAAAAGTATATATTTCCTTGAAGTTTTCCATTCAAATTGCACAAAAAGGCAATAAAGAGATGGAGTATAGACTGAGATATACATTTAAAAAATCAGCTGATGTTACATAGAAAGAGAATGTCTTTCCACGTTGTCTTCAAACAACAGACAGGACAATGAGTTACTTTTTGTGTGTGTGTGTGTCAGAGTCTCACTATGTCGCCCAAGCTAGAGTGTGGTGGCACACTCACGGCCACCACAGCCTCAACCTGCTGAGCTCAGGCTGTCCTGCCTTAGCCTTCCAAGTAGCTTAGAACCACAGGTGCACCCCACCACACCCAGCTAATTTTTTTGATTTATTGTAGAGACGAGGTTTCGCCAAGTTTGCCCAGGCTGGTCTTGAACCCCTGGGCTCAGGGAATCCTCCTGCCTCAGCCTCCCAAAGTGCTGGAATTATAGGTGTGAGCCACTACACCCAGCAATAAGTTACATATTAATGTGGGAGGAAGAAAACGAGACTGTATTGTCTGCCCAAATGGAAAGACTCCAGGTGCAGGTGTCAAATTACTATTGTACACAAGTACCAATGAACCTGCAGTGCATGTCAGTAACTGGTGCACACGTTACCATATTACAAAAATATAAGGTATGAAATTTTGATTTTTTTTTTGGTCCCCAATGTCCAAAATTCTATTATAAGCCAAGTATCGTTACAATAAAATAATTGGTTCCAACGTTATACTGTTTAATATGAAGTGATTCACTTTTCACTATTTGGTGAAGAAAAAGTCTGGTTGAGTTGCTGGTAGCTGATCTACAAGATGTCTCCGAGTGCAAAGGATTAAACTAAGACGCTTCTGCACAGCAAAAGACAGTATTAGCAGAGTAAAAGGAGTTGCTTTTCTTTCTTTTTTTGAAGATGTGGGGTACAATTCAGGATTGGGTGTACAAGTGGTCTTCATACAAGTAAAGTTTGGGTCTCCCTTTGGTCCCCACTTTGCCTGGTTTGAGATCAGGTACCCTTATTGGTGTTACGTGCCCCACCACCCTTCGCCGGCAGTTTCCGGCTACTGCCAATCCCTTTCTTCTTATGTAGTAAATGTTCAGATGTTCAGAGTCCGCTTATGAGTGAGAACATGTGGTACTCAGTTCTTTGTTTCTGAGATAGATCACTGAGTGTTATAGATTCAGTCCATCCAAGTTGCTGTGAAGTCCATAATTTTGTTCTTCTTTATGACTGCATAATATTTCATCGTACATATGTATCACATTTTAAAACTCTAGTCCACTTTCCAATGGGCGGCATGGTTGCTTCCATGATACCTGCCCACACGTGTTTATTGCAGATTTTAATTTTGGGACAGTGAATGTGAGGGTAGGGTCAGTCATTCTTAGGTTCCACCCAGGTTACTATCAGGTACCTAAATAGGCATGTAAGTTAACAATAGGAGCTTGCTTCAGGCGTTCTGTAAATACCTCATCCTTTTTGTTTCTTTGAGAATTTCTGACCTGGGGGGAGAAACTTGTGTCGTAAGTTAAATTAATACTTATGAATGTAGTGAGTTTTAATGCTGTGTTCAGTGTTTTTTTTTTTTTAAGCATTGAGGAATGCAGCTGATTCATGGTTGATTTATTGTGTATCTACAGCTTTGTTGAAGCCACTGTTTCTAGTAATCTGGGGGTTAACTTCCTTCAGTTTTTGAGTTATATAATTAGGCCAAAAGTAAGTCTTGGTTTTCCCCTCCGTAAGCTGGTACTTTCCCACTCCCCAAATCATCGCCTTTTGGTTCTTTACATAACACTCCTAATTATCTGAAATTCTCTTGTTTATTTATTTGCCAATTTGTTGTTACTGCCTTTTTTCTCTTCAAATCTTTAAATTACATGAGTTCAGTCTTGCCTTGGTGACTCCTGTATCCATGCTGCCTGAAACAGAGCACTTGGCACAGAGTTGGCACCTGATGATTATTTGTTGTTGAATGAACATTCTGTGTTAACAGTATTTTAATTTTTCCTTTGCCTATATTTCTACCTGTTTTCTTCGGTAAAAACTACCAAATTAGAATGGTGAAAATGATCATTCTTGGCTTTATTTTCCTCTATTACTTAAAGGAGTAACTATATTGTATGCTGGCTTTTGATTAAAGTACATGCTTTTAACTCAGGGGTCAGTTTTAACAGTTGCATTCATTTTGTTTGCTTTTTTCCCCTTTCTTGTGTGTGCTGGCCATTATTTTTTTATTGGTTTCTTCAGTACCTTGTGCTGCAACTTAATCGTAGTGTATGCGGCAAGTGTTTATATTTTAGCATATTTGAAAATCTCTGAGGTTTCCCAAGATGGGCAAGCATGTGGTATGTTCTTCAGCCTCATACAGCAAAGTAGGAGTCTTCCAAAGACAGTCCTGCTGTAGGCCTCTCTTTATAAGGCTAAAAAGACATGTAACCAGTGTCTTGATAAATACAGAGTGACAGCACCTCCCTCTGAACCATGGGAATCCATACTGGAAGGCATGCCTGGGAGGCACTCAGTGCTGTCTGGCGTCCTCCTGGTTCTGAGCTTTTGGCTTCTGGATCTCTCACTGCATCGCGGAGGCCGCGCGTGTCTCCCCTTAGGGTGTCATGAGTGCTTTCCACAGAGACCAGCTTCTTACTCCTTTCCTCGTGACCCTGACTGTAGTTACAGCTGTCTTAAACATGGCCTGCACAGTTGCCTCATCTGTTTCATATAGTGAGTGTTCTGCTGCTAAAAAATGGCCAAAGCCTTTTGCTGTGTGCTCAAAGGGTTTTGCCACTTAAAACTCTGGCCCGTTTCCAGAGGGAAATCAAAACTTTCTTCATATCAGCAAAGTGTTTGTATGAGTGTTTGCAGTGTATAAGGCGGGTAAACCAAAAGCTTTGGTTGAGATCAGGTCCTTGATCCTGAAAGATCAGCCTTCAGAAGACAGCATTTTCCAAGCAGATACTCTTCATTACGTCAAAGTACGTTACGGTCAGGGAAACAGTGTCTGGTAAACAACGTCCACCAGCACGGGTCGACTTTGTTCTGAGAACCCAAGAAGACAGACTGCAGGCTCCTGACTGACATTTGTTTTCCCTCTGCCCCAGGGCTGTTCATTACATGGCAGGTACAGAGGGCACGCTGGGTTAGGGAGTGATCCGTGATTGACTTGCTGTGCACTGTATTGAATGGCGAATACTGACCTGGGTTTTTGTTTGTTTTTGTTTTGTACAGTTGCTGGCGTGGAACTTCATTCCTTCTTTCTTTCTTTCTTTGGGAGGGAGGGGCTTGAAAAGGAAACAAGAGTATCCAACTAAAGAGCTTTGTAAAACACCCTTTAAGGAAGAACCTTTTCCCGACGGGAATTACTTTCTCTGTGGGTAGAGTGGTCTTTCCTGTAGTCGGCATTTTTTAAGGAAATAAGCAGCAGCTTCTCTGTGATTGTTGGTTGGTGTGATGGTGTGAAAAGTCAATGTCCAGGGATCCCCACCCATGTCAGTCAACAGCCCTGCTGCAGGTGTTGCGTTAGTGTCATTTGAGACACTCTTCTGTACAAGATGTAGTTTGAAGATTTTTCAAATATACTTTGGCTTTTTCGCTTTTATTTTTTAGGCTGTGCGTGTTACAAAACCCAAAATCCCAGAAGCCATAAGAAGAAATTTTGAGTTGATGTGAGTAATATGCATGGGATCCCGCTGTTTCTATTTAGGGCCGTCTGCGTGGTAATATGCCAGTCTAGAGGAAACGTGTGAGGTAATCCCCTCTGGGGTGGAGTGTGTGTCTGTCCTCTGTACTTTCTTTTTGCCTGTAATATTGCCTGTTCTCGTGTCTGAATTCCCACTGGACTCTTAGGAGTTTTCTCTGTGCATGGACATTTCAGCAGCAGCTTCGGTTTGCTGCAGAGCTGTTGCCGGAAGCCTAAGGAGCTGGCGTTTTAGATGAGTAGAGCCTTGAGTTACAGATTAACAGAGGAGGGCATCTTAGCTGTTAGGCTTGGGAAAGAGCCCATGTTTTGTTACTGTGTTGTCATGGTGAGGACACCTTGTTAGTATGAAGTTTGGTTTTCCGTCAAATGTGATTATCCATCTGAAATCAGACCTGGCTCTTTATAACCACCTCGAGGAAAGCCTTGCTTGAACGGACCCCTGCCAGTCTTCTCTTCTATGTGCCCAGGGCTGGCTGGCAATGAGAAGTTGCTTGCTTGGCATGAGATTAGTTTCTGGGTGTTTTAGAGGACAGGGTCCCTTTTAGGGGCATACTTATTGTGATTGAAATGGCAATATTACTTTCATAGGACAGGTACTGACAAAAAGAAAAGTCTTTAGGAAATTTGGCTGGTACATTTAGAGGAAAAATATGAGATGCTGGAAAAATAAACTTGCAGAAGTCAAGAATACAACAGATGTATACATGCAGGGTATCCAGGGAGCAGTAAGCCTGCTTTCTGGGGTGAGCTCCTTCTGAATCCTTTTGTTCCCAAGGATGTGTCTTGTCATGCATGTTTGTTTGTTTGTTTGTTTTTTCTGGTATATTTTTCTTGTTCCTCATACCTTCTCTGTCTGAGGCCATGCAGAGTTTTATTTTCCCTTTTCTGTTGTTGACAAGGAACTCTTTTAAAATTATAAAGCATAGAGTGCCCGACTGGGTAAATCACGGGTGTGAGCTACTTATATTAAAAAAAAAAAGACTTATTAAAGGCTCAGGATCTCTTAGGCTTTAAATATGAGTGCTTTTGCTGATGGAAAGATGAATGCTGTGTGTTCTCTGCCTTCAAATAACACATAGATTCAGGGTGTCATTTCATGTGTTGATCAATGTTGGCAGAAGGAAAGGGGGAGGAGCTTGGGGGGAAATGTTTTGGGGAAGCTGTTGGAGTTACTTTTTAGATAATTCTGGGTTTTTCGTAATTGTGTAGATTATTAGAATTCCAGGAGCAAACGCCACCTTGGGCTTACCCAGTGTTCCCTCTCACCTACTGGTCATCTTTTCCGACGCCATTTGTGCTGTGTGGTCACTCAGGAGGCACTGGTACATGCTCAGTGTTAGGCCAGCCGTTTCCCTCACAGGCTGAGTGTCCCTTGTCCGAAATTACTGGGACGCAGAAGTGTATCCGATTTGGGATTTTTTTCAGATTTTGGAGCATTTGCATATACATAATGAGGTATCTTGGGATGGGACCCAGGTCTAAACTTGAAATCCATTTATGTTCTCCTCCTTAATATAGTGTTTAGTGAAAAAAGGAAAAAAGGAATTTGTTAATCTCCCACATACACCTGTAGCCTGAAGTTAATTTTATGCAGTATTTGTAATAATTTTGTGCATGAAAGAAAGCTTGTGTTAAGTGCACGTCGTGTTAAATGTGTGGAATTTTCCACTGGTAGTGTCTTGTTGGCGTTGAAAAAGTTCGAGCTTTTTTGGATTTCAGATTAGGGATGCTTGACCTGTATTAGAAGCTCAAATTCTTAGAAAACTCTCTTTACATAAAGCCCCAGTGCACTACCTGGTAACGCCACCTAGTTCTGTCTTCTGTACAACAAATGGGGCCCCTGCACGTGGGCATCCACCTGCAGAGGACAGAGGCTGACCGCCAGCTTCCCTCTGCTTGCCAGACCACGCCCCCCAGGGACTGGGTCTACCCCGAGCTGGCATCGGGTTCTGACTGGCACAGAGTTGCGGTCAGGGCTAGCAGGCAACCTGACAGCAAAGGAAGGGTGTACGTATCCCCTTCCAGATCACAGCTTTACATGACATAATTAGAAACAAATCAAACTAATATGCAAACTTACCAAATCTTTTCCCTATTTCTGGGTGACTTCAGGCAAATCATTAAGTCTTTTAACCTCTAATTCGTGCTAAGTACAATGAGGTAACACTTCTCTTACCTTCATGGGTCGGAAAGTTCTTGCTGAAAAAACAGTTCTCTGCCCCACAGTAAGGTCAGAATTACGACTGTGAGCACACAAAAGAAGATCATTTCTAATTGTTACAATGTTTTGCTTCACAGGGAGGCCGAGAAGACGAAACTTCTTATAGCTGCACAGAAACAGAAGGTTGTGGAAAAAGAAGCTGAGACTGAGAGGAAAAAGGCTGTTATAGGTGCTTGCGTGTTTTTATCTTATTTTTTGTTTTTTTGAGTCAGAGTCTCACTCTGTCGCCCAGGCTGGAGTGTAGTGGCATGACCACAGTTACCACAACCTCGACCTCCTGAGCTTAAGGTGATCCTCCTCCCTCCGCCTCCCAAGTAGTTGCAACTGTAGGCATGTGTCACTGCATCTGGCTAATTGTTTGATTTATTGTAGAGATGAGGTCTCGCTATGTTGCACGGGCTGGTCTTGAACTCCTGGACTCAAGCATTGGGTTTCTTTCTGAAATGAGTTTGTCCTATTCTCTGTCAGTCTCATTTTGGGTATTGATGGAACTTGAGTTAAGTTTGCGTCATCTATGGTGATTTGCGGAAGCTCCACTGAACACTCAGATGCCCGAGAGCCTTGAGGAGTAGGTGAGGCCAGTATTTGATGAAGCCCCTTTGCTCTCCTCATGTTGCTGGCTGCCGCTGTTGTCTTTCTCAAGGACGGGCATGGGTGGGGCTTGTGAGTGGCTTCCGTCCTCACCGATAGAGCAAGGACAGGGGAGTGTGTTGGCCCGAGCTCAGGACTGCAGAGTCTCGTTCTTGGAACGGCATGGCATTCTTGTAGTCTCCATGTGCTGGCTTCACCTGGATGGATGTTGCCACCTAGGGAAGTAGGGCGGGGCTGCCCACAGCTGGTGTCAAGTGACAGTGGCTTCCCTGCACTCCAGGGCGCCGAACGTCAGCCTGCCTCTGTGGGTCTGCAGCTGATGCCGAGCGTTTAAAATGTTTTTAATTAGCCAGGCTCGGTGGCTCAGCCTGTAATCCTGCACCTTTGGGAGGCTGAGGTGAGTGGATTGTCTGAGCCCGTGGGTTCGAGACCCACCTGGGCAACATGGCAAGACCTCATCTCTACGATAAATAAAAAAA